GACGAGACTTGGGGTCGAGCCGCTGTTTAGAAGCTCCCTCCCAAGAGGCATGTCTCACCAGGAAGAGATTCCAGGAAAGACCCAGGACACTACTGAAGGGACTATGTCTATAAGTCTTTACAGCCAGAAGGTCCTGGGTTCGATTTTCAGTTTGGAGTGGTGTCAGTTTTCCTCCGGGAGCTCTGGTTTCTCCTGGCACTAAAAACATGAACAATAGTTAAGTGTGAAGAAGTGTTTGTGACTGTGAGTAGGGTAGGCTATATTCTGTGCATTTAAACACTCATGATAAGTGTAAAAAAAGGTTATTTTGGTCCCATCTAGTTTTCCAGGCCACTGCTACTCAATGGGTCAAATGTTAAGGGCACATTTCCACAGGACTAGCGTTTTTAACATGGGTAAACACATTTCACTTGAGTGAATATGTGTTCAAAAGGACCTCTTCGACATACTTCTATCAATCATGTTTTGGCAACAGTGGTATACACTGACCAGAAATGGACCATTGACCCTCACTTGCTTCAGTCAAATGTATTAGGTTTTTGCAAAATTAATCTTGCAGAGCGCATGTACAAACATAACCTGCACCTTTTAACAAGTGTGTGTATTTCCTTAAAAGCCCGAGTGAGAGTGCGTTCTTCAGACGTGGTTTTTATTAATCCCATTTTGTGGTATAGACATGTTTCTCTGAAGTCATCCGAAAGGTGCTGCGTCAGCATGAGTCGGACATGAACTCTCGCCGCGGGCAGAGGCCGTCGAGACAAGTTGAAGATGTGGTTTTTATGGTAAAAAAGTCATGCAGCCTTTACACCGTTTACCTTAATCCAAAGCCATGGTGTTGCAAAAACAAATTAAACCTTCTGTTTTTCAAACCACATGCACAAACCTGGTAGGAAATACACCAATTTTATTAAACTGTAAAACATAGGATTAGTACTTTTTGTCCACAAAGGCCACACTTTAATATAAGCCACAGGTTTTCCTGTTGTAATGTAGCAGATAGACTGGTCACAACCATAGACTGTAAAAAATAATGGACGTAGTCACGCCTATCTCCGCCGTTCCAACTATAAGGGCAACAATAGTGCTCTACTGGAGCTATCCAAAATGGCTGCGAGTGGTCCCGCCCACAAGAAAATTGTGAAAAAACGCATCTGCGCATGCGTCGGCCGGCGCAAGCTCCATTCATTTGAAGGAGAGACTCACAGCAAGTAAACTAGAGTGGTCCAAAAAAATTCACCCCCCCTCAGCAATTGACTTTTCTCTCTGAGCACTCTTGGCATGTTCACGTTTACCGCCCGTACACTCCCTCCTTCCCTGTGCCCACCTCTGCCTGTTTCGCACACAGCCCTCCCTCTTCATGTCCACACCGGGGCCCAGCTGCACCTCTCACATGCAGTAGCTGTAACCTCTGCTTTAACACAACCAGCCTGAACACCTACTTCTCCCACACCAGACCTGTGACATCATGCCGGGGGGCGGGGCCTCAAGGTGCACTCATCCCAGGCAAACCGGAGCAAGTTCAGTCTAGGTGCCAACTCATGGACTTCCAACATGGGAATTATATGAACATCCCTTACGGCTCAAAGGTAGGGACTTGGCGCCAGAAGAGGAAAATCAAGACTGCCACTCCTGTATTTACGTTAGCGCGTTTTGCCTCATTACACTTGAGTTTAAGGGTGTTAAATGTGGGAGGTGGACAGCTTCAGCTATCTTCTGTTTGTATTTGGGTGGCGAGTGTGTTTTGACTTTGGCTGGGGAGAGCGTGCATTGCTTCACAGTGGCGTGTCACAGCCTGCAGTGCATTGAAGCAGTTGTCTCTTTTGGACAGGGCTGTAAAGTCGGTCTGTAGTTGTGTGGTTTAGTGATTGTAGTAATTGGGTGTGTAGCAAGAATGGCATTTTTTGCAAAGTATATTCTGTGTGTGCACATGGTGGTTGAAAATAAGGTGGGTTTTTTTTTGCGCCCATGTCTGTTGTATATGATCAATGACAGCAGTGGGTTCTTTTGTATTTTGGAAAAGTGCATTTATTGAATGTGAATGATATTGAATGTTCACCATGTTTAAAAAATGCTGTATTGATTTACACTTGGCCTTTGAACATCATCACAACAGAGGGCTGCTGCATGGGGGTGGGGGGGGACTTGTCAAAAGTTGGGTGGTTGTGAGCAATGGCATGTAGTGCAGTAGATTCTTCAAACTAAAACCAATTTTGAGAGGCTATGTGAGATGGTAAGAAAACATTTGTTCTCATGTCAATTTTGAATAAGTTGTCAGGTGCTCAAACTATGTTAAACTCTCAATGCGTATTAATTATTACAGCCTCAAGATTTAGATTAGCGTTGAAACAAGTTAATCTATCACAACTAAAATAATCAAATGTTTTACACATTCACACACGACTCCAAAACACGTGCTGAGAGAAGAGAGTAATGATTCTCCCAATTGCAAAGAGCTCTTTTTGTGTAAATATTCTTGGATCACCATCAGTACAAGAGGGTGATTGATTGGTTAAAAATAATGCATATAAACATCAATTGTTTGCATAAAGTAGAAGCAGGGGATTTATGACAAAGTAGTTCATTTTTCCAGTCCTAAATAAGTTCAAATCAGTTCTGCTCTACATGAACTTTACAATATTGTCATGTAAAAGTAATGGCTTAAAGGTTTACGAATGATTCAAGCATGTTTCAGTCATCCTTATATCTCTCAATGTCTCTTTATTGAAGAACCTTTGCTCTAACAGTCTCCTGTCCACCACTAATATGTACTTATTTAAAAAAACAAACAAAAAAACGATGAAACTGGAATGCGTTTTTAGCACAAGCATTTTGGCACAAATGGAGATAAATTGTGGTAATTCTACTATTAAATATGTTGGTTTTGTAATCTGGCCATGAACCTCCAAGTTTTTGTTTTGTCTGTAATGGATCGTATTGTGCAAGTAAGTGATTTTGCAGTGTGTGGTCAGCCATGCCAGCTGCAGCGAAGGATCAAGGAATGTTGTGAATTTTGATATTCCCTGTGTCCATGTGACATAACTCATATCTGTATGACCGATTGGAATGACTCTATCTTTCCACTGCACCTCTCCCCCTCCGTCCCTCTCCCCCCTTGTCTCCTCACTCATTTCCTCAGCACTAAAGCATGTGTGGTATTCTCCCTGAAAGATACCATCTGGACATTATACAGTATGTGACGGCCCTGTGTATAATATATGTCATTTTTGACTTACTGTACAGAAATTATGAAGTCCATTTGTTTTTTTTTTTACAGTTTATATCTGAATGTGTTTCTGATTTAGTTGCACTTCTAGGTAGGTTTACACATGGACACAATTTGTGCACGATGATGCTATGCTGGTAGCATGTTTGCATAACAGGACTGTATTTAATTTGCATCAGTGTGAATTATTAGATAAACTATATTTACATTTTGCAGAGATAACTTTGCATAAATTTATTTATAAATACATACATTTTATGGAAAACACTGCAATTCTTTTTAAATGCTTTGAATTAAACAGACTTTTCATCTTTTAAAAGTAGCTCACCTCGTTGTTGAAACCTTAAGATGATCACGACTAATGCATGTCCTTCTTGGATTTGTTCTGTATTTTCATCTTTCTTTTTTCTCAAAGACAAGAGAGCCAAGCCAAAACAAGTATGAGAAAAAATTCTATGTAATTTACTTATCATTTCAATATTTATTCACCCTCTAGTTGTAATTCTAGTAGGGGAAATTATTTCACATACTATGGCTGGGAGATTCAGGTTACAAACTGTATCACAATATAAGATTATAGAAGATACAGAAGATATCAGAGTTACCTGGTTATTTGTGTTGTTTTTATAAAGAAGATGTAGATATATGCCAGTTTTTGTTTCATTTGAAAAGGCCCAGTAATGGATCAGTTCTGCAAGCTGTTGATCGATATCAAAGCTTTTTTAATCTAAATGTTTGTGACTAAGAAAACCAAAGAGTACTTTATCTATGGCAATAAATGAATATATTATCAATATTTACATTGGATAGGCTTACTTCTTTTTTATTTTTATAATTCTATCAAAGGTAGAAGGCAGCTTCCACTAACACAGCTCCTCACCTCTATGCAAACAGTTCATATGGCCATGCGAGTCTGGGAAAAACAAATATTAAACTAAGGCTTTATCTACATTCTGTTTTTAGTAGGAGCAGAGCAGTGAACGCTTATCATTAATGCATTTTAGCAATGTGCTGTAGACTTTTTTAATTTTACTCAAAGATTTAGCAGAATTATTTGTATTGTTATTCATAACGTTTCTTAAAATTTCTATTGTATACAGTGCACAGTAGGTTTACACAATAAACATTTAACGGCGCAGGTTAAAGTGACAGTCGTAAAAGGCAGGGGTCAGTGATGAGTTATGATGTTTTCATGAGTCAGACTGCACAAGGGAAGAAACTGTTCTTATGGCAGGAGGTTCTGGTCCTGATGGGCCGCAGCGTTCTGTCCGGGGATATTGCTTGGAATAGTCCATGTGCAGGGTGAGAGGGGTCGGCGGTGATCTGTCCAAATATCAATCACAATGCTCAAGAAATGCTTTTTACATTAACGTGGTGCACAGTGAACTGTCCTGCATACATGTACATTGTAATGCCATTTTGAAAACCGTCTGATATACTGTAAGTGTTTCATAAACAATACTGGTCCATCAGAGACGACCATTTCATGATATGTCATTATCTCAGATATAGTGACACCACTTGCACTAGCTAATGCATTTATGAAAAAACTCACATCATGAATTAATGCAAGATGCAATGTTCAGAGCGAATTAATTTCTAAGTAATAATCTAATAGGCAACCCCATACATTTTGGATGACCTATTTTTGGGTGGAATGCCCCAAATAAAAAATAATTACATTGAATTAATTTCACTTATACATTCCTACATCCACAGTATGAATACAGTCTTAAATCCACATTAACTGGCATCACTGTGGCTGACTGGGTCGCACTCATGCCTCACAGCATGGTTTTGTGGTTTTGATCTTGTGTCGTCCTGAGCCTTTCTGTGTCCGCACCACCCAAAACATGCAACCGTATGAATCTGAGTGAGTGATGACGGTGGTTGGAGGGGGCGATGTTACAGTCTGGCTGCTGTCACCCCTAAGAGGGGCATGAAAGAATGGTGACTTCAGAGTAACACATTGAGAGGCTTTAACAGCCTGTAAAAGCACTTTACAAGGCATTATTGTCATCAATAAAACAGGCATAATGTTACTTCTCTTCTTTCCTTTTATTAATCTCAATACACTTCATCCTTGCTACCACTTAACAACAGTGATGATCCCACCTCTCCTACCATTTCCTTTACATGACAGAATGACAGTAGGCCCGTTCCGTCCTGCTCCATGTGAAGGTGTCTGTCAGCTCCGGTCTGTCGGATCATTGAGCGAACATGTTTCTGAACTGGGGAAGCGCGGTCATGCCGGGGCACGCCTCCACCTCCCATCTCCTCCCATCGGAATAGTCTCAGAGGCCCAGACAGTACAAAGCTGTCACCTGTGTGAATGATGACACAGCTGGGTAAAGAGAGAGGGGGGATGGGGCGCATGGCCTTGGACTTGGAGCTGGATGTAGTGTCTTTTTACATTGTAGGATGATAGACAATACATAGCGTGTGTTATAGTCAAAGTCTCAAACAGAGAGAGATCATCACATTCTCATCGTCCTCATCGCTCTGTCAGTTGTAGAGAGTCTGATCCAAACATTGCAGGCCAAACCCCACTCCAGACAAAATACATTAGTCCATTAAAATTACTTTCTGTAGTGTTTATCTCTGCAGTCCATTCCATCTCCACCAGATGTCTGTCTTCCCTAAAGTTGGGAGTAACCTTCAATTTAATAATCTTAGTAATTTCTTCAATGTGTATTTCATACTACTGCTTTATTGATGAGAGACATTTGAATATTTATCCTTTCTTAACTTGATGGAATTTGGTTTGTTGTTTGTTTGAGCATCAGCGTTCAGAAAATATTTTAAAATCAAAATTACAGAATTACGACTTTATGACTTCACAGGATTCATGAATGATAATAAATCAGATATTAAACATACAAAAGACCCTCACTGATATGGTGTGATCTGTATTTTATTGCTTCATTTGAGTGAGATAAACTGACTGAAGCCAATAGTTACAGTAAGCCATCATTTTGGAAGTTGAATATGAATTATGTAACTAATATATTTATCATCAGTTGTATAGTGGAGTGAGGCGCGAGTATTTTTTAAAGTTGCTATGGCAATCTAGTGTGTAAGCGTATTGAGCGGGTAGCAGATCATGTTTCAAAACAGTTACATGCAGCCTGTAAACAAGTATCAGCAAGTCATTGCTTTCATATCCTAACTTTTATATGTCCTGTCTCCATGCCAAAACACATGTTTATTTGTTTTTGCTCCTCTTGCGTGCTTTACTCGCAGATCTAATCTTTTCACATCTAATCCAATTTCATCTCGTCTGTGGTGAGTTCTACAATCTAATTTCATTATCAAGTGATTTACAGTGACGCTTAATCTATCTTTAATTAGATCCAAATGCAAGTATTACTGTGCCTTTGGCTAAATATGTTGAAATCTGGGTGGAAATAATTTTCCTCATAATAATGGAATACAAAATAAATTCCTTTTCCTGAGCGTAAAGTAGAGTTCTGTAATGGCTACAAAAGGGGTCCTTTGTCTTCCTCTTTCACACCACATGAATATGATAAGGGATGTTATGGTTGGGGTAGGATAGCCAGGCCTGTCGGACGTCTACATACTGCAGTTGTGATCTGGTGGAGGGACAGCCATCTGCTCTGGTCCATCTAAATGTTGTTATTTGTTAAACTTTTCCAGAATATGGGATTAAACCGTTCCATCTGCACTTGAGACATGTAAATGACTTCACTTGGCTAAGTTACAAGTCATGTCTGTGAGGGGAGCGCTGCAAAGCAAATAAACACATTTAACTAGAAAAGCACTCGTGGGGGGCAGACCTCCGCCAAGAGGCACAGATCCATTCCTTTAAAAAAATCATTGATGCTCAGAATCATCTGCAAAATCAGGTTTCAAACCACGGTAAGATAATAAGACAAGACAAAACCGTATTGTTCTCACAATGGAGACATTTACAATAACTAACAGAGTTGGTTTGTCTCCCTGCGTCTGTGTGGGGTTCCTCTGGGCGTCTGGTTCCCTTCACCATTAGTCAAATCCTTCAATCCTGACCAAGCATCAACATGCTTTGTCATGCATGGTGATGGGTGCTCAGGCTTTGCACTGTCCTGACAGGTGGCATTGGAGGGATTGGTCAAAAGCAGAGGACAATATGGTGTAATAAGTACACCTTAACCTTACGGTTTATAAGTTGTACCATACTGAGGTAGATTACAAGAAATAACTTGCTCGGTGCGCCTTTTTAAATGCAATTTAATGCCAATGCAAGATTTTTTCCGTTTGGACTGAGTAGCCCTGCCAAATTCTTTGTGCATCACAGAATATTAAATCATACAAGAGAAGGGAAGGTAAAAGAACTGTAGGCGAATCAAGGAACTTTGTGATGTGTCCATCCATCCATTTTCTTCCCCTTTATCCATTTCTGGGCAGTCAGAGCTGCACCCAGTTCACAGAGTACCAGCCCCCTCACTGATCCTCCTGCAGGTGGTGAGTCCACAGGAGGGTGGCTTCTCTAGTCTGAGCTGCCTTGATTTTTCAGTGAATATTGCAGGAGCATATATATTATAAAACACGCATGGATCACTCTGAAGACAGCTATATGCACAATGCACCTCTCTAGGCCTTTAAAATGAGGCATGCACTTGTGGTTGATGAGTCAAAATGTAAATTACTGTCTTAATTAGTGCAAGGGGACATGTGTAAAGAGCAGTGTCTGATGTACAGAGCCTGAGGACAGCTGCCTCCAGAGAGCACAGCACCAATAACACGATGCTAGACGTGGCTGCAGCAGACACCATGACCTTGCATTGCTGAGATTCCTGTGTTTGAATAAGCTCTGCCCCACGTGAGACTTTACAAGCTGCACTTTAGGCCCACTATGCCGCAAAAGGGCACTCTAGACTAACAGAAGACATCACTGAAGCTGCCACAGGAGCACAAGCATGGGTATTGTAGGAGAAATTATAGGTTGATGACCCATGCTTAGGTATGATACTACATTGGGTATGAGTCTGAAATATAATGACGGATAAAAAGCCTATTTTGAATGTAACCGCTATTATTATTATTGATGGTTATAAATATATATAAATATAGTGAGTACTTTCCTGATGTTGTATCTCTATGTATAATCAATCTAAACATGTTCCCATGTTGCTGGTGTTTACTTTTCCGCCACTCTGGATACTGGTCTGGATAGTGTCCTCATTAACATGCCCAAATATGGTTTTGTCTTAGCACTTTTAGATTCAGTCATTTCAGTCATAATTGTTGATTCAAAAATCTATAATGTGCTGAAATGATTGATAATAATCACAACTATATTCAGATAAAATGTATTCATTCAACTTGGATTATTTTATAGTACATGTGCTATGAAACGGGTTGTACTCCATGCACGTTGACCTGCCCAATGCAATTCAAGTATTTTTGATGAAATGACTTTGCTTCAATTTCATCTTTACTTTTACCTAAAAGTGTCATGCACGCAATTTTGTAGAAAGTTGTGTTTTCAATATGACTGTTTGTTTTGTATCTGTCCACACAAGTCATATGATGCTGTTAGTTGACACACTTCCTTTCACGGTGGTTAAATCCATATAAACCCCGTTGGTAGAAGCAGTGAAAGTGGGGTCAGCTGTGAGAGAACTGTCCATAAATGCAGCGCTGGCCTTGTCCTCTCACATGTCGACTGTTCACAGCCGCTCGGGGCTAATGAACCACCGACCGGTCTTGTGACTGGTTGCAAATGGACTCGAGTTGTGCTTTCATCTAATGGGCTCTGAGTAAAGTTGCCGTCTTGTGAATGTGCTTTTCGATACAATGATCAAGACTTAATAATCATTCTTTTACAATAACTGTTTTTTATGTCTACCCATGAGTTTCAGAGTGATGATGTATGTTGACCTATAGATTACAAATTCAAAACAAAAATTGGTATTGTGTAGTTTAGGGAAACGTGAAATCCAAGTTGAAATCCAGATACTGAGGTTTTCCATATTTATGAAGTTTGTCAATATGAGTTCAAATTTAGTGAACATGTTCTTATCCCTTAGCAAGACTATGTCAGTTTTTAAAATGGTAACACAGGTAATATATGTATTCATTACAGGCAAATACAGGAGCGTCACAGTTGCTATTATAATAAAAAAAACATACCTATAACGAAATCATATGTGTATATATATAAACATCACATATATTAAATAACAGTGGTCACATATGGGCAGAATTTTGAACCCGACGGTAGTGAAATGGGGATGGCGCCTTGCATGCAGGAGATTAGAGAAACAAAGATGACTCAAACCTACAAGAATCAGAGTAAAAACAGCACTCATGTGAAATCAGCCTTACACAACCCCTCTTCTCATTCACACTTCCCTGTGACGCACATAAACATTATCCTCACTCTTTGCAGGGTGTCCACTAAAAGCAGAGCCCCATCTCCGCCTGGCCTGGACAAGCTGAATTCCCCAGAACTGGCCCCGTGGTTCCCGGGCAACCCCCCAGCCCTCACCATGGACCACAAGGAGAACCTCATGGACAAAGAACTCTCCCTCACGGTGGTTCTGCCCGGAGGCGCGGAAAAGATGACGACGGTTCACGGCAGGTACGTAAAATATAGTGGTAGAGCATATAGGGGCGTTTATGGTGATGCAGCTCTTTAGGGACATTGGTAACACCGCATCATTAAACTGGAATGGGATTATGTCATAAACAGCATGTGTTTTGATCAGGAATGATGAAGAATCAGATGATACATAAACTATAGAAGAAGTGGACTCTGCAGTGCTGACATCATTCATAATGTTTTCCATATTGCAGAAGAAACCGAACAGAGATAACTGTAACAGTGGGCAATGGGCATGAATAGGAGCCAAATTTCTGGATGGAAACAACCTAGCAACCAATCAACCAATAGGGATCCAACTTTCTATTGTCAACTGCTAACCCTAAGCCTGGTATAATGGTTCAACTTTGGTTTAGTCCTTGTCTGTCTCTCCAGTTAGATGAGGTATTATGGATTAAGATTATTATTAATTATTAAATGAATTTGAGGAAACACTGAAACATGCCTCACACTGGATCTGACTGGATTGTATCAATGTGCACTTCCTTCTACCTTTTTATTCCCTCAGACTTTGTGTAATTTTTAGAGAAAACTTAAAACTTAGGTAAATGAGAAAATGATACAAAAAGTTGGTAGGAACTAGAATGTGTTCACAATACGGTAAGACAATAGGCCACACACAAATTCTATCAAACTTGAGTTGATTTGATGTAATCAGTTCAGGCACATTTTGCAAACAGGGAGTTGGTGTCAGGCGGCTCAGGTTTTCTTCGCACAGTTTACTTAAGATATCTTTATCTTTCTCACGGTGCGTAGTTTACAACTCCCTTTCTCGTAGCTTTCTTGTGCAATTTGGTCTCTTGAGAAACAATCCTGTCAAAGCAGATTAGGGAGACAATGATGCCCAATGTTTCCAAATAATTCCAAATGTGTTGCATTTTACTTTTCAGCAATGGTTAGATTTTTTTTCCCAGCAGTATCACTTCGGCACTTTGACATTTTTTAAAAGACCTGCTCCCTTCAGTAATCTGCTGCTATGTATCACTTAGTTGTGATTACATAAGGCCAGGCCAGTTTATTTTGTATAGCACACTTCCTACACAAGGCAACTCAAAGTGCTAAACAAAATTAGATTAAAAAAAATCACACAAGGCATTCAAATCATAAAAAAGATAGTCTGTTGTTTGGATAAATACTTTATGATTAATTATTCTAAAATATATTTAAAAAAGGATCCACGGGTCAATAGGTCTTTTTTATGAATATGAGAGTATGTGCTGAAGAAAAGGGTTGATAATGGTTATTGTAAAATATTTTTGACTTCATGATAGTTGACTTGTTTTTTTGCTGTGTGTTTATGCTCATTAACTTTAGTAAGTAGACTTTGATCCAAAAATCCATATTTATTTTTAAATCTTGTATTGGGTAAAGCGTTACTCGACAAAGATCAAATATTGTGAATTCACCCCGATCGTGAATCTTTATTACCGTTTCCTTTTTATTTGTATGTAATAAAGAAACATTGAATTTGGAATATTGAAATGAATTGAAACAATAAAATGTATTTGGAAAAACTCAGAAATGTCAAGAATGAATATAATGTCTGTAGTGTGCGCACCCTAACTTTTTATGTCCATGCGAAAATGCAATCACGGATTGAACCAAAATATCTGGAAATTGTCTGCAAAGTTATTCCTCCTCGTGCTTAGAAACAGAGTCGTATTGAAGATCCATTAACAAGATTGCATTTCAGAGTGAATTTGAATATCATGGTATTTCTCTACTCACTTTCTTCCCAGCAAACCCCTTATGGACCTATTAGTGACACTATGTGCAAAATACCACCTGAATCCTTCTGGACACACACTGGAACTGGTCACCACCAATCGGAACAACATCAAACTCAAACCCAACGCACTCATAGGGACTCTAGACGCAGAGAAGATCATAATTAAATCTAAAAGTGAAGACAAAAACAAGAAGACGAGTCCCCAGATGCCCGAGGTACACAATGTTTTACGCTTTTCTTCTCTTCATGTTGCTACTTCTTTTAATACGGCCATATTTCTTTTCTCAGGCAACTGTCCGCATGGTAATAAACTATAAGCAGACTCAAAAAACCATACTAAGAGTGAGTCCGCGCGTCCCGCTGGCCGAGCTCCTGCCGGCCATCTGCGAAAAATGTGAATTTGAAGTGGAGAGCACAGTTCTGCTGAAAGATGTCAAGTCACTGGCCCCTCTGGACCTGTCTGCGTCTCTTAATGATTATGCAATAAGAGAGGTCTACGCAAGAGATACACAAGGTGAGCTATAGCAGGGCTGAGGGACACAATTTTATTCTTTTGTTATTGGGGACTAAACCCAATGACAACCATTGGCATTTCAATTTACAGGAAACAAAGCATAACAACAAACAAAAACACACACACATACAGTAAATAGTCAAGTTTGACACGGCCTCTTCTCCAGAAAGTGTATTGCAAATGCTCAACTTTCATGGTTTTCCTCTGAATAGAAAACGTTTGAATTATTGAACACTTGTGAAGAAGAGCCATGTGAGTCACTATATGAGTATTTGAGGCTGAGAGCTGATTGGCTGCAGCAGGGGTAGTCCACCTCGATTCACTTTTGATGTTTGAATGTTTTTAAATTATTTGTGTGATTTTATTTTTTATGTTTTTAAATTTCCGTGTGCTCCCATTGTGTTTTTAATGCCCTTTGGGATTTTAATTGTATCTTTAATGTTTATGTGGATTTTAATGTCTAGGATTTATGCATGATGTAATTAGGGTTTTGAGGCGCCTTGTGTTGCCTTGTGTAGGAAAGGCGCTCTTCAAATAAAAGTTGATTGATTGAATGTGAAAAAGCTGCGGTATGTTTTGTAAAACGTGGCCAAAGATCCTTGCCAGCAAATACTAATGGTGTGCCACAGACACAACTGACAGAAGGATGTAGATTGATTAAAATAATGACTTCCTCAAAGCTGAAAATCAGGTACTGCAGCTTTAAGTTTGCATGTGTACAATTAGAGATGTGCATTTTGGTTTATTAAAGATTATTTCAAAATTGATTTTTCCAAAACAATATCAAGTTAGATTTTTTTTTTAATGTTGATTTGAGCAGACATCAGACTTTGGTCAGATTATATAGATTTGTGGTGTGCAACAAAGAACTTGGCTTGATTCATGCTGCTTTGATGATTAACCTTGGCTGTTTTTCTGAGCACCTCCACCATGAAATCACATGTTAGCTCTCTGATTAGGTTTACATTCTGCCAAGCTTTGACTTTGACTATGAATAGGGCATACTCAATATTTTATTCCTCAATTATAACGATTGTGTCGTGCTGTTTCAGTGCCGGGCTCTCCAGTGTGTCCCTCCTCACCCGACTATCCAGGTAGTGTTTGTAAATGATGTGAAAAGATGATCCCATAATTCCCACTGATTATTATCTCCCCATGTTTTTGTTTTGAAGGATTAGTCACGCCAGGCAAAGATAAAAATCAAAAAGAGGTAGAAAATAAAGGCCTCTTCAGCATGTTTCGGAGGAGCAAGAAGAGCAAACCGGAAAAGGTACATTTATTTGTGCTGAATCTGTACATTTATACAGTGACAAACTATTCTGGTGACTGTGGACATTTGAATTCTATCATATGTCTTGATATGTTTGTTAAATATGTCGGATTTAAGCTTAGAATTCTTATAATTATTGTTGACTAATAATAAATTAATGCAAAAATGATACAAACATCTAAGAATTATTGTGACAAATGTGCGATATGAATAAACTGATCTTCCTTATAGTTTAAACCTTTACTATCACATTGCATAACTAACTCTAAAATAAAAAGTCAGTTGTAAAAGTAGCTAATGAAAGTTTTTTCATCAGCTACTTTTTCAACTGTTTTTTCCCTTCACTTTAGTCACACAATACCAAGAATGTATTACAAACAAAAGTGTTTTACTCCAGAAATGTGAATAATCATGCCTTACCCATTGAGTAATAATGACCTGTGCCCTCAATCTGAGCTGTAGACAGATCCTATTCTGAAACGTGACCTCTTGAATACGCCAGAGGGAGGTCTGTGTGCTTACTGTTACCATTGGTCGCCTGTTATTTAGAAATCCTGCTCTTATCACTGTCGTTGTTGGATGTTTTATCTCTTTCCCCAAAGGCCACTACCGCCAGCGCCCCGTCCTCCCCAGTGCTGCCCCAGAGCCGACCACGTCCTCACAGCATGGCCTTACCCAGCAGCCACTCCTCTCCGTTTGGGACGGACGTGCCCAAGAAGAGGCGAGCCCCCCAGCCCCCCATCCTGGTGTCCCAGCAGAGCTGTCCCACTGACTTCAGCCCCCGACAGCGGCTCTACTCTGAACCTTGTACCAGGCTCAACAGCACTGATCAGGTGAGTGGACACAGCTTCGAATCAACGTTTGTACTGGAAAGATTGTGTTGTATTTGTATCAAAAGTTTGAAATAACAGAACTTTTCCTTTGTTTGTGTCAATAAATATTGAAAATGTGTGCATAATTTTGGAAATGTGCAATATCAAGCTATAGCTACTTATAGCTGGCCGTGTTAAAATTGTTTTCCTAAATTTTCCAGTTAAGTTGAACTAGGGATTTGAGTAGTATTAATTCTCCAACATTTAAGCCACTGATTGTTGATGTATCAGTGGGCTACATCTACTGATGTATCCCAGGGACTACATATTAGTTCATAGCTATGTCTGGTCTATACAATATACTTAATGTGCAATGTTCATGCCAAAAAAATAAACAAGCAGTGCATTTATTTGACACTGGTACTTGTTTCTAATATTCGCTGCTATGTTGGCACTGTTAGAAGGACTTTTACTGATATACAGGGAAAAAAAAACTGTTTATTATGAACGCCAGCAGACTCTTATTGAGATTGTTCAAAATGTATGATGATGTGAAGTGTCCGCAGTACAGCAATACACTGCCCTCAATTTTTTTCTGATATACGTTAGGATAAGATTTATTGCATTAAAGCTTTGCAAACAAATACTATCCCAGGGAAAGTGAGTTCAAGTAATTTAAAGGGAAACTGGTCATTTCTAAATGATGTTTAAAGTCGACATAGATTTAGAAATGGCCAGATAATGCATCTGTCGCCATATTTACAAACTCCTACTAAATCATATTTAGTCAGGCCTTCAGAGTCTTGTCAGTGATGTTTCAGAACATGTGCCCAATCTTGACACATTATTTTATCTAAAAATGAACATACATTTTCATAACTGTGAATAATAGCATTACCTACAATTACTTGCACCATCAGTGAGGTTGTATGTTCCATGCTCACTGATTATAATGCATAATGTATACTTATCATCTTTGTGTGTAATATTATTCAAATATGTGGTAACATAATGTATTTAATGTTTTGTAGACGCCTGTTTTAAGTCGTGGATCTTCAACTGAGTCTTCGCTGAAAAGAACCAAGAGGAAAGCTCCTCCACCGCCCGCCTCCCCAAGTGTAGCAGCACCTGAACCACTTTCTCCAGACGATCTGCAAGGTCCATACTTTACCATTACCAGAGTCTCTCTGATAACTCTGCTAACAATATTATTTTGAGTATTGTGATTTGGTAAATATTGAAGGTCCTCTGAAGCTGTGCCCAAAAAATATATTTTACCGCCATCTACTGGCCGTTAATGAACTATCCACTTCTTACTTAGATTTAATTTGATCTCCCCAAGTAAGTGATACTTGGGACACACATTTAGATATATAAAGAATGCATTTATGATAATGGGAAAAATTCAGTGTAAGAGGTAAACTTTCTAAATGAAGATTGATTTGAAGGAGCTGTCGTTATCTCCCAAACACAGGTCATCATTGATGTTAACTTTTGATACAAAAGAAGAAAAAGTACTTGCCTAAAAACCATACATTTTACATCAAGCACATTTTCAATGATTATTTAGTCACATAGTTTAGGAGAAAAAGTCAGGCAAACAGATATTTATATTATATATATTTTTCTTTTTTGCGCGACAATTTTAAACCTTTGCTGTGACCAAGTCGAGTGTTATCTCAAATGCACGGATTCTTTTAGCCTTAAAAGGACTTCTTACACCTTCCTTTTCTTAACAGTTGAAAATCTTTTTGACACACCTTCCTGCCTTTGTCCTACAATTCATAACACCTCTAATGGTATTGTCCTAAGAGGAAAACGCCACCTGCCCATGAGCACAAACATATCTAAATCTAAACAAAGGCTTTGCAGAAAAATTAGGGAACAGCTTAGATTTTAATGGAACATTTGGTTTATTGAAATCATTAAGTCAATGCTGTTGGCGTCACACAACATTGTTGTGGTTCTCAAAGTAAGGAAATCATTTAGTATGTGTATAATATCCTGCTTACATCCTCGGGACAAAGGAAAGACCCATGCAAAGTTGGATACTGAATTCTATTGGCATTAGTCAGTGTTTCTGGAAAGAGTGAGAGTCTTCCTGTGTTGTGACTGCAAAGAATGTATGCTTAGTTTTAGTAACCTTAAAATGTAGTGCAATTAAAAATAATGGAATTCCGTTTTTTGTAGAAATATGTGAGATCATTGAAAGAACATTCTGAAGTCAATAATATATAATCATATATGAATCCCAGTGCTCCTATTAAGTTGGGTTTTTACAGGCATTGCACCTGCTATCACGCTGGAAGAGATAAAGGAGCAAGAAGAAATCAACTCCCCTGCGATGTTTACTGCTACCAGTGCTGTCCAGGACCAGACAACTACCCACAATGCATCTGATCCAGTGGACACCGTGCCCATCCAGACTGCAGTCGACGTGTCCATAAAGGAAAACGGGGACCTGTCCACAGAAAAGTACGAACTCAGCAAATGTTTTTCGCTCCAAAGTTTGTCACATGTATAGGCAACTTTCTAAGTCTTATTCGTTGCAGTAACGGCCAAATGCATAGTGAGGTGAACGATTCGACGACCCCTTTGGTGATGGAAAAAGTGGACGTTGAAGATTTGACTGAACTTGCAGACACAAGTAAGACACAAGTTCAAGTGTAGTGTTGTCATTGTAGTCACATGGTTTAATATTCCTGCGTTCAAGTTGCCATGGCTCCAAAATTCTCAGGTCTATTGTGGTTTTTAAAGGCATAACATAATTAAAAGTATGTCATGTAATGTATCTTTCTTTTTCTCTAGGTGAGCCTTCTACTTGCGAAGAAGGCCCCTGTAATGGCAGCACAGTGGACAGCGACACTCTCCCCAGCCCTGCCCGCCTCCGGGATGCAGAGACCCAGGCCTCCCCCTCTCCTCCACCTCCCCTTTGCATGGACTCTACAGCCCCTGCAGAGGGCACTGACTGTGGGGAAACAAGCCTCCACACTGTGACTCAGACCACCGCAGAGGACGCACAAGTTCAAACAGACTCACTCCCACCTACTGCCCAGCGAGTGGACATTGCACCTGAAAAAAGCTCTCCTCCGGTTTTATCTGAATCAGGAAAAAAAGACATGGCTACGCTGACTGATGACCTGGAAGTGACTTTAAACTTGGATGTGCCGTCTTCTCCGGCAAAGTTACCCCCCTCTGAACCCGAATTGAAACCCAAAGCGTCCAACGAACTCACGCGAGACTACATTCCCAAAGTAGGAATGACCACGTACACCATTGTGCCTCAGAAAACGCTCGACAAGTTGAGGTATTTTGAAGTAGCCTTGACACTGGAAGCGGCGCCTCAGAACTTGCAAGAAGATAATCATGAACTTGAGGGAAGCACTACGGAAAAATCTGAGCAAAGCACTACAGAAAAATCTGAGCAATCAAATAAGTTTGAATTAGAGAATTGCCACTCTAATAACACTGTAAATGGGAGCATTCAGGAGTCAACAACGCAAAACTATACATCATCCAATACTACTACTACTTCTACTGCTACTACTACTACAGCTACCACAGTAGATTCTCATGCAGGTGCACTCACAAAAGTCAAAGAAATCAAAATTCCACCCGCAACCAAGCCCAAGCCGGGATCTTTCCGCTTGCAACAGCACAAAAAAACACCAGGGTATTATGTAACATCAGCGGCAGAGAAGAATCAACTCCCAGCTACCAGCTCAACCAATCAAAAGCCAGCAAATGATAAACATAATAAACACAGAGAAACTTTACCACCCCCTCCACTTCCACCCCTGCAGTCCCCTGTAGATGGAGCTATAGTTCTAAGTCCAAAGCCTAACGTAGCAGCAGTCTCAAGGCAAACCAGTCTGCAACAGCCAAGTTTTGGGTTGAGTTTAGAGAAGTTGAGGAGTTTTGCCGCGCCAAGGCCATATTCCCCGTCCACGCCATCTAGGTTTGCCCAGGCCGTGTCCTCAGCAGTGAAGAAGCAGTCGAGTTCCCCAAGCTCCCCCAGATCACCGTGCCTGTCTCCTTCTTTCTCCCCTGTGCGATCCCCGTCCTTCTCTCCAGTAAAAAAAGAGTCACCAAGTCTGGAACCAAATGAAAGGGTGAGATTTGTTTGACATGACATTTTAGCTGGTTTTTCAGTCATGCAAGAAGTACTGAGGTATCTGTAAGTTCAAGTAAGTAAAAGTACTTCTGTGCTCCTGCAAACAGAGAGCATCTTGCTCAGCCAATCAGATCAACAATTCATTTAGTGTTCTTGCAATTGGTGAAATAAAATCACAAAAATCATGTGATGAGTACTTTAAGTGAATTTGGTTCTAATAAGACAATACATGGCACAGCAGCATGTTTCGATGCTTCTAGAAAGTTTTGCTTCATTTCAATAAATAGTCAAAGTTGATTTTTTATTATTAGAAACTCTTAAACTCTTGTATAAGCTCTGACCTGTAGCTATTACATGTTAGATGGAAATCCACAAAATATGTGTAAACTGACGTATTTCTGTGTCATTACAGGTGGATGCGATAGAGGAGCGCACAGAAAAGATTTCCACAATAGGACCTGCACCACACACGCCTGAGTTCAGTGAAATTGTGGAAGTCGAAGAAGAGACCCATGTATAGAACTGCCTTTCCTTGGACAGTATTCCAGCTACTGTACGAAAAGAGAAATATGTATGATACATAAATATTCTCACTATATTGTGTACACTTTTTATTTGTTTTTGTTCTGTACTATTATGCACTGTATATATCCTGTAATTACTGTATTCCCCTCACTTTGAAAGGCGGCCATAATTTGATCTGTATTGAGTATTAGTTATTTTCTTTTGTATTTTAATAATAAGCATACAATTCTTCAACTGTAAGAACAAAACGGTTGTTTAAATTATTCGTCAGATATATTGATCTATTATTCTAATTTAATTTTGAAATTGTACTTTTCTGTCGAGTATCCTTCAGATGCACTGTTCATGCAAAGTGCAAATGACAGATACTGTTTCATTTTACTTTTTCTTTTTTTTTTTTGGTCGCATAAAATCCATGGTAAATAGTTCTACATCAGTGGCAGGTGGTTTGTAACTAAAAGTGGAAGTAAAAAGATTAAAACATAGAATTCTGGAGGCAATTAATCCATCACAAGAGACACATTTATGAAACTGTCATATTTCTGCTTGTTGTATTCATAACTATTGGGTAAATGAGACATGCTTTGTTTGTTGGTGGTTGTTAGGTCACATGGGACTTTGTCATAATCTGCTGCCCAAATGTAAGGACGTACAGATAAGAACCACATTTTCTGATCTAAGGAAAACATTACAAGATAGTTGTATGCACTTTAAGTCTTAAATGCAGAATGCACAGGTTTGGATGACGAGTTTCAGATCATCTCAGATGCCATTCCTAAATTGTGTGTGTGTATGTATGAATGACTGCAGTAAAAAAAATCTAAAGGCTCAATTATTGAACAAATAAAATAAAATATGTGGATGTAGAAATACTCGAGATGCCTTATGTTGAATGCAATTGTCACTCACACCTACCAAATCTAAACCATACTTTGTTATTCACTATTGGAATTGAAACAAGTACAGTTTTTATAAATCATTACATTCTATCAATCGCAAACAAATTTATGAATATATAATATATATAAAGATAAACCTTTTGTCCCACAGTGGGAAAATGTCAATGTGGCTGCGCACATGGACAGAAGGACCACAGGGAGCACACAAAATATACACTGTAAGTAGCTGCTTACATTGCAAAGTTGTATACATATTTACAGATGAATGACATGTACAGGCTCAGCAGTTCTCGTCGTACAGTCTGACAAAAGCAAGAAGGAAAGGTGGAACCTCTCCTTCACACTGAGGGGATCAATGAGTCTTTTACTATTACTCTCCATAGTAGACTGTATCCTTCAGGGGTGCCCTTGCACTCCAAAAGACCTGAGCCTCAGCAGGTACAGTTGGCTCTGACCTTTCTAGAAGAGGGCGTCTGTGTTATGAGTCCAGTCATAATATATATAGTCCAGTCACTATGTATATATATACATTATATATATATATATATGTTTATATGTGTATATTTATCATATATATATATATATATATATATATAGATATAGATAAAATAAAAATAATCTCACCATGAGGGCTCGGCAGGAACAGGAACCAGGTAAGGTGAAATGTTTTTCATATATATAGTTTTTTTCCCCCCAACACATGTTAATAATTGTTTTAAATACTACTATTTTAGACACACAAGGACCCTTCACATATGGCGATTTCCATTCACTGAATACACAGGTGGTAATTGACTACACCAAAGCCATGCCACTAATAAGGGGCCCAGCCTATAGATCCATGTGCCCAGCTGGCAGCTGAGGTTCCCGAGGTTTCCCATCACGGTACTAACCAGGCAATTCTATGCTTATATCCTGGAATTTGAAAAGCCGTCGCACGTGGCATGCCACCACGTATAATCATAGATGCTAGAATCCTGGATGTATTATCTAATCGGTAAGTATCATAGACTATAAACATTAGGAAGTTTGCGTACTTGTATGGATTCAAAAATATCACGCCTCCTATGGGCGTGACGTCGTGACGCTCTTGGAGTACACCTGTCTGTGCTGCACGTGCACCTTCACTGCACTCGGGAGCGCGTGCGCTGCATCAAGTCCTTTAGGTAAGACCATAGACTGTAATTAAAGACCGAGCCTCCACCTGTGTGTGCGTGTGCGTGTGCATGTGGGACGGCTGCAGGGTTCCGTGAAGCGTCAGAAAAATGAACTACTTTTTGAAGTGCATGCGGAGTGTATTGCATTATTTGAGCTGTTTTTAACGTTATGTTTAAGTACATTGTTATTCATGTTTATCTCCTAAGTATTTTGCTAACTGAGTGTGTGACAAATGTGGCGGCCATCTTGTAATATGAAGAAACATTAAATATATATACAATCATTATTATATTATACCTTATATTTGCATGAATAAAACCTGGTTTTAGAATGTTATGCTTACATATAATGTATGACTCAAATTGCACGTGCCAGTATCTATTAGAGCAACTACAAACTATAACAAATAACTATATACTTTACTCCCTATTAAAAAATCATGTTATCTAATTGTAATGATAGAAAATCGGCATAAGCTGCATACACTTTTAGAGATCCTCTTTTTTCATGGTTTCACAATTTGGATACCGTTATGCTCTGTCAATATGTTTAGGGATTATGAGGTTGCGTTTAAATTAACGGAATTCATGGTTCTCTAGCACTGTTTTACCACAGACTTTGTTACTATTTGTACTTATGTGTTCGAATAAAGCTTTAGAATATTGACAGCCCACTCTAATGGCAACTATTTTAATACTTTGTAATAACATACTCCGTATGTTTAATCTTGAGAAAGTCTCCAAACACTATACTTTCAGTCTCAACAGCTGCTTTCCCCATGCTATCTCTAAAATGATGCTCAACAACACTGAGCTTTAATTCCATTATAATGGTCTCTGGGAGGTAGATCAAGGGACAAGTGGATTTCCAAAAAGTCACCCAACCTTATCTTAAAAAACTTCAACAAATGTGTGAATTTTCCTACATGGAGATGAACCCATTTTTTGCTGTCCTTGTAGAGCACCCTGACAAGTCTGTGTACAATCCACAAATAAATCAGTCAGTTATTTTAGTCAGTGCTGCTCTTGACTCTATTCCAAAGTGCACAGGATCGTTGATATGGAGATACTGTGAAACAAAGGCTACCTTGTTTCAGTTTAGAATGCAAAGTTTGCAAAGTTTTCAATGTAGGCTTTAGTATGAAAGACACTGTAGTTTACTTGTATAAATATGAATATGAAATTATTTTGATATTAGGTTTAGAGTAAAATAACATATCCTTTCTCTAATCTAGTATATCTTATTGATTTGAGATCTATTTGTCTATTTGTTTGCTAATGTCCATGTTAATCCATTAGCAACATTATTTTCAGGACAAGGAACAACATTGATTTGATTTTGGAGATGATCAGAATGGAACTGTGCCACTCTATGAAGGATTTTCATAGATATTGATATTATCATTTTGGAAAGAGCCTGAATAATAACACATCTTTGAGGTTCTGACTGTATCTTTATGTTGTGTTCTGCCTTGAAGGAATAAATCACATCCAAACAAGTACATGCTAGATCTATATTTGTTCTCTGATAACAGTGCATGTTTTAGCACCGATTTAGCAACTTCATCTTCTTTTCTCTCTGTGGGATTACACTGGCCTGCCTGTAGTTCTCAGTGTACATATTACTTAATGGCTTATGAACTACCTCAAATAACTAACTTCTCAAAAGATTGATTTATGATGGTGAGCAACGACATATGTGCACAGCAACTGCAACGCCACGGAAGACACTGCGAGGGAAAGATCATCTTATTACGTTCATACTATAGCATCAGCTGTTTCCAGAAAGTAAAGCGCACTTGGATTGAGGTGGGACTGAATGAGGATGCTTTTAATCAGACATACTAAAGACCGCTCAGAATGCTCTGAGGAGTGAGGAGTGGGAGAGTGCTGAGTTTCTCTACAGGAGAAAAGAGCTGAAGACAAACCTATCGAACTGTGGGCAGTGGGTTTCACTTCAGCTCTGCATCTGCGTTACACTTTTCCAACATCGAACATGCGCAAAGGACAGAACTAGTAGTGTATTTGACACACTACATGTACCTCACGCACACCTCACGCACACCTCACGCACACCTCACGCACACCTCACGCACACCTCACGCACACCTCACGCACACCTCACGCACCTGTTTGGACATATGGGGCTGTGATACATGAGGGCCAGTGTGCAATGATGACTCGGTTCAGGGCGCTGCAGAAGAGTGTGTCTGAAAGTGAGGATTTGGGAAAAGTAGGGCTTTTTCATCGCTGTCCTCGGCCTGCAGACCATAAAGTAACTTTTTAGTTGGGAAATTTTTTGTAACCCATATGCAAACCACTTTGCATATGGGTTCTTTATGTTCATGGGGCCCAAAAGTGAGTGTAGGACAAAAACATTTGTTTATGCAGAAAAGTACTACCGGTATCTCTTTGTAAAACTATGTTTGAACATAGTGGGATGAGTTAGGATCAGAAGTTTATACTACATTTTATTGAAATGTTCCAACATTTCTGTTTGCACACCTGTACAGTTTGCAGCGGATGCATAGATCATAGTTTTGATATATCTTTAGCCAATCAAGAATTTCTTTACGGTCCCAACAACCGGTGCATAGATTCTTGTGGCAAGAAAAATCTTTTTGTGGTCAACTGTCTTGAAATATTAATAGGGGTGGAGTAGGATCCTCTTATGCCTGAGTTAGCTGTTAGCCTCTTCCCACCCGCCTTTTCTCCCTCCCCCTGTTTCTCCCCAGTCCCATGCTGCTCTGCTCTGCCTGCGCTGCTCCAGATGATGCCTGGGTGCTAGCCGGACCACATGACTGATAATGAGCGACGCGCTGGACGGACTGCACTGCACTCCCAGGCGCCTGGCGGAGAAAGAGGACAGCTTTGGGAGAGGTACCGCCTTTGTCCCCCGGCTTACCACCAGCGCTCCCCGGAACAGGTCCGCAGGCAAGAGGTGAGATGATTGTAGAGTTTAGAATGTGAAGAATGTGTGTGTCTAATGTATGACACAGGAGCTGACTTTAGCAAGATGAGTTTAGGGTGTTTAAGGTGCAATATGGAGGTATTCTGTATGTGAAATTGTATCGGTATTAGAATAATTTTGCTTTTTTATAGAAATGTTCCACAGTCTATGTAACTATTATACTCTAACTATTATATTCCTTGCCAACAAATGCTTTGTTTTATGCAAAATATAAAACATATCCATTCAAATTGTGTATTATTGCTGTTCTTGCACCAAGCCACCAATCAATTTGTAGTATGTGTAGAAAAGTGTATGTTAACGTTTAAAGAGAGCAGAGATTTGCAACTGGTGTGAGACTAGGGAAACTCTAGTACTGATACAAAAAATGGCACAATGGACACATTTGTATAACTCTTTTTTTTTTTTTTATAAATTAAGTCTAGTTACTATTTAATTATTAATATCAATTTCAGAAAAGTGTTATATTGCCAATGTATGCATGAAGACTTTAGTCATTTTACATTGCCATCAGTATATTGTTATCTGAGCTCAGATCTGGTGACGTAGAGGTTATTTAACAAATTGTAATTCCGTGCTATAATGTTCTCTGTGATAATCTCAGATTTTCAAATATATGCAAAAAACCGTGCACTTTGGTTAATTGCATATCCAATACCAATGACGTGCGGTGAGGTTGGTGATTGGTGAGGCACTGACTTTACCCCAATCAGAAATATCACATACAATAACAGGACATACAGGGCAACAATGTGTTTGGCTATAGCAAAATATGTTTCATGTCCGAATTGTTTGCTCATACAAAGTATGTCTAAAACTTGTTATGGGCCTTATCTTAAATGAACTCCATTATCAACTTCAGTTAAAACCAGTTTCTTGTTTAAGTCCAGATGATAGTTTGGGTGTAGATATGTAAATCCTTCATTTGGAAATAAGACCAGTTGAGTTTTTACTTTACCCTTTACCCTTTACTTTAGCCCTTTACTTCCCTTCCTCATCATTCCTATTGTCATTGGAAGAATAACATTGACCTAAGTGGCCTTTAAATCATCTTAGCATGTGTTAAATGTATGTTAGCCAAACCAGCAGAGGAAGAGCAAGAAAGGATGCTTTCTAATAGAACTGGATGCAGACTCACAAGCGCCCCCTACCATGAGGCTCCCCTCAACTGGGGACATTACAGCCATAGTTGAGCGAGATAAAGACCCATATTTGTTGTCAATAACAATTTATGATTCTTCCTCTCAACTGTAGACATGTTATTATAAACAGAGAAAACAGTTTGATAGCACCGCACGGGCTTCTCTCTCTGTGAACTGAGGCATTTACGCATATGCGCTGCTCTGTGAAATATGAGAAATATCTGTAATTTCGAGGTAAAAAAATATGAAATAAGGCAAAGTTACATTGAAATGATACAATAGCTCAAATCACTTGATATAGTAACCAAGTATTATTGTTTTTTTATTGTTTTTATTGTATTATTTTTTTCTTTCCAAGATCGTATATCCTGCCTGACCGCACGTCACTGTCCAATACTCATTTTATTTGTATCCGAAATTGTTGCTCTTTAATTGTCTGGCAATGAAAGACTGACATTGTTTGGGATTTTGACTCTTCAATATGGTTGCTTTCTTTACATGAATACAAATTAAAATATTCAAGAAAATAGGTACATATCTAAATGTTGTATTCAAAAATCAATACAAGACAATACCAACAAAGCAAACCAAAATCTATATACATCTAGAATCATTTTTTATAAACCTCTTGTTTAAACCTTCTTCCCTTCACCATTATTCCCTGGTGAAAATATTGTCATATTGGGGAATATCACAACCACAAAGAACTACTTTTTCATGTCCACAAACAAGAAGCCCCAATCCAGGGCAATACAGGTCATGTGTGTGGATTTTATCTGTTATATAGTATATTGCAGACAAAATCACACTACTGGCCTCATCAAATGTCTGTTTCCTTATGTGCAAAAGTGATTAGCAACCCTTCAAATTTGATCAAACAATTATTGCATGCACCCAACTAAACCGCCATAATTGCGCATGCTAATTTACTTTGGACTCACCATTTACTTCCTGGATTGAGGCCCAACATCCTCACAATATTTCTTCCAAAATGAAAAGTTTGCATCTTTTTTGCATATTGATGGATTCCATGACCTCATGCTCACTGCTTAAATGGGATGGCAAAAACGTACGGCTTCAGAGCCCCTTGCGGCTCTTTCAATTCTGTCTTTGGCCTTGACAAAAAAAATGTATATGTATTTTTTCATTTCAAATCATAAGTCCCGTCCTTGCGCATTTCTGATAATAAGGATGCTAAAACATGAGTGGATGTGTGAATGTAGCTGTTCCACAACAGGTCCAGTCTCAGACTTGGTGGTAGAAGTGTGATTATATTCTTCAAGTGATGGAATGAGCACAGATAACAATAGTCTTAAGCCTGAGTCAGTATTTTGACATAGGGCTCAAAGCAGATTGGCTGAGGGAGGGACAAGAGAAGTCGGTCCTCATCTTTAGTTTTGAAAACATCAAAACCAATCAGTTTGCCAGGAATGTATTAGACATTTTACTTTCAATCTATTTGATTTGAAAGTTATAGGGACTCCAGCTTTAAGTACTCAAGATCCAAGCAAATGTTTTATTCAGCTATTTTCCTGTGCGGTTCTTTTATTTTAATCTTTCACAACATTTTAACTGGAAAAACAAATTTAACTGTTTTTAAGTTGTGCTTTATTTTGCGGCTCCAGACAAGTATCTTTTGGCAGAAAAGGACACACGATAGTAGACTACTGCCTTCGCCAGAGATTCCACACACTGTGTTCTTCACCTAAAAGATCTGGTGGACAGTGGACACCATGACAACCTGTGAAGTCAAGTTTAGATCCATTTTTTTAGGTCTATGTCTTGTTATTATGCTCACATCGGCTCCTCTAGTGTACGTTGCGTTTCCAGATTGGAGGCTCTACTTTATGTTAACTAGCTTTCATAGAGAAACAGCGAAACAAATATTGAGACGAAACAGTTTGATTTTGTTCACTTAACTGTCATGACATGGCACTTTTGACAAGGACTGGGAAAGTATAATAGGTGGTGCTACATGGAGACACTTACTCAATAGGTCTATGTTGTTGTGATTGGGATTGGCTAATTTAATTTGTTATGCATCATACACTAGTAGTAATAATACAATGTTATGCTATCTTCCCTTTGCAATATCCGTTAACTTGGGTCTGTGATATTGCTGGACGACATGCTGACCTCTGCCTAAAAGTGCGAGTCTGTCTGTTTGCTTCCCTGCAAGTATAATGTATTTATTGTATTTGGTTTCAGACAGTGCAGTCTGTGTCTGAGCCGCTCCGCAGACTTTGTACCTGCAAATACAATTGGCTCAAACCCAGGCATAGCTGTCAATGAGATGCAATGTATTATTTCACCCGAGTGCTGGAATCAGACCAGGCACCTGTTAGTCTGAGTAACTGAGTAACTGCAGTGTTTACACAGCAGTAAAAAGTGCAAGCCACTTTTTGCGCAACATGTTCCCTTATCCGTTTTACAGTTTGGTTTTATAAGCAATTTTACTTTCAGTCATTAACCCACAGTAGCTTTTTAGAGCTGCCTCTGAATCCTTTGATTATATGATGGGTGTAGCAAAAATGTATTCTTAAAATTACTGTACAAATGAAAACTGAGCTTGCAAAGTGGTCATTGTGTATTTTAATCTGCACTTTGACTTGCTATACAGCTATAGCATAGATCATCAATGAGAATATTTTCTCAATAATATTGACGCGACAGTGGCTCAGTTGGTAGAGCATTGGCCTTGAGCCTGAAGGTCGTGGGTTCAAGCCCACCATAAGACCTTCTTCACGACTCCCACTGATGACTGCTGTCGTTGTGTCCTTGGGCAAGACACTTAACCCCACTTTGCCTGAAGCTCCTACTGAAAGATCTCAGCTCCTGTGGACTCACCACCTGCAGGAGGATCAGTGAGGGGCTGGTGCTCTGTGTACTGGGTGCAGCTCTGACTGCCACCCCCCCGACCCAGAAATGGATTGAGGGGAAGAAAATGGATGGATGGATGGATATTGACTCAAACATGTGTGAATCACTCTAAAACATTGCAGCTATTGAAGCTATTCAAAGATGCATGATTTACAGTAGTTTTTCAGTGTTTGCATTCCATGTCACCTTCAATGTAGATAAATAAGTGATAAATGTACCACAAAATACAACTGAACATTTGTTTCAAAACGGAACCAAATTCTATACTGTATCTTGCGTTGCCGTTAAAGTCTTATCACCCAGAATGGGGTGGGGTGTCTGCAAGCAAGAGGCCTCTATGTACTTGTCTTTATCACCAACTTCATACATATATTTTACTTGTCATTCCTGCACATGAGAACAACTAATTATAGCTCATAAAACTGTTACAGGTTAAACTGCTGCTTTGCGTCAAGACAAAAGGGTCATTGTCTATGCGCATACAAGTGTGAAGTAACATTGTTTTTGACAGATCATGCAGCAAATGTAACTGCTAGTTACTTAATATTGATCGATTGTGAGTCATTCATAGTTCATGTTGAGAGATGTAATGCTGCAGTTGCTAGACAGACTTCTCGTCGTGATCATGACTCGCTATCATCTGCATTAGGCGTAAGTCTAAGGGCTATTGCTTTTTTCCACCTGTTGCAGTTGATTGGGTTTCTACAACTATTCTTACATTATACAGTAAATGTCTTTAAAATGTTTGACACATTAGTTTCATCCAACTACTACAGAAAATTATTTCCCTTTGGGGAGAATACATTTCCTTTTTACCTCTAATGTTCTACCATACATATACTGTATATATATATATATATTTTATCTTAGTCTTTAAATTTATAAATCCAGCCTGTTGGCCTTTTGGAATAAGGGTTTTCTTCCTTGCAGAGCGGGTCTTCAGCCCATGTTTGTGTAGGACTTGTTCTACTGTGGATAATGACACATTCTCACCATCTTCAGCTGCCATCTTTACAAGGTTTTATTCTGGGATTCATTCGCAATTTTTTGACCAAACATGTCCATCTCTGAGACACAACATAAAATGACAAATTTGGCACCTTTTTAATCATTTGGAAATTGTGCCAAGGATGAAACAGGCTCCTCTAAAGTTTTCAAAAAGGAAAGCAGTGTGTTTGAGACTTTGCCTACAGTCCATCTAAAGTTGTGTATCCAATTAACTGTTATCAAAAGGTCCCAAGGCCATGGTGTTTTGCTATTTGGGAAATTCTATGTTGTTAAATAATAAATATTGTGTATGTAAACATCTAACTTTGTAGAATGTAGTTAAGCATATCCCTCTCACTATTGTGAGATTGAGCAAACATAATATGTGTTTATTCACAGAATGATTTTGGTAAAAGAAATCTGACATGAGAAATGTTGCTTCAGATGGTGAGAAAGGGTGTCTTTTGGCACAAACATTTCAACACTCCTGACGTATCCATGTTGTGGTAGAACAGAGCTGTAGGTGAGTTAGTAATACATTTAAATGATTTGAATCAACAAAAGTGGCGATAGTGGCAAGAAAATGGCAGGACATGATTTGAATCTAATTATCAACAATAAATATCCACATTGTACATTTTCCATTGTCCTCTGGGTTCAAAGCCCATTGGTGTCTGTATGAAAAAAGCATCCTTTCCTATTACAGGCCTTAGAATGAGAAGATGCATTTGTATATGCTACACATACAGTACGTGTTCCTTGCCTCGCCTGCTACAGGCAGATCAAAGTCAAAATACTGTCTATATTGTAAACCCCTGTGCTTTTTACTTTTAGAAGCAATGAAGAGGATGATGACTCCTACTCTGCAGTCCCTAACCTCTCTCCAGAGATAATCCACTCCAATTTCTCCCCTACCGTCTCTGAAGGCCTTTTACCCTGGACCAAAAACAGTTGTACTCAGGTAAAACTCACCCAAACCCCAAAGCACTCGAACAATGAATGGTGCGACACTTTTCCACAGAGTTAGAATTGAAGAGAAATGCATAGTAACATGATGTTTGGCTACACGCTGTTGAATAGACGGTCGAACCAGTTGTGTGGGTTTGGAGACAGCTTGTGGTGAGCTGATAAAGCAGTGTCAGCACGCTCTAATAACCCACACACACGAAAGGCAGTTTGTTCTGATGACAAATTGGATCTGTGTTGGCACAGTGTACATCTGCCACAGGGTGTTTGACTGAAAATGTCACTGAGGGGTAAGGCAAATGTAAAAATAGAAAAGATAATTATGATTATTCTGCAGTTTTTTAATGTTCTAGAGGCGCCAGAGTCATTAACTGTGTTGGAGTTACTCAAACATGTTTGATCAATCTATAGTGGTTCACCTCATGATAAAACTATCTCCATTTTCGTTCCTTTGTTAACCCTCCTAATTTGTGATACTTTGATTTTAGAGAAGTTGGATTTGCATAAATTACTGAGGTGCACAGGTTAGAAAAAGAAAGATCTGACGAAAGGATTGTTGCCGAAACGTCTTTCTGATAGAGATGGGTCTATTAATAGAGTATATATTTTTGTATTTATAATAAAGATAAGACATGTAAAAACAAGCGTAACACACTCAAGTCCAGGACAGAAACAACCTAAACTAAGTATGAATACCTGTACAGCAGAGACAAAACATGGTCGAGGGTGGGGGCTTCCAGCTTGTCCTGCACCAAGAGAGGCCTTTGTTGGACCCTGTTAAGCCAACACACTTTCACTTATTGACATTTATTTTTATAATGATAATAATTCACATAGTGTAATAGATTATAGCCATTTACAGTACCAGAACAATATATCGTCTTTAAATACACATAACAGATTTATTGTTGCCTTGCTCCCCAATAATCCATCAATAACTGTCATGTTGAGGAGTGATATACTGTGCTGTTTAACATGTAACAATATGGTTGCTTAATTCTAGTGCTACTTTACTACATTTATTTCACTACTTGATGCAGAAAGGTTATGGGCTTACTGTCCACATCCTAAAAACAGAACACATGATTGCAATTATATCTCAAAGTCAAAACTACCAATTACATGTCAGAGTCTGGTTTTCAAATGAATAGTGGTGTATAGATTTTCCTACGCCGCTCCATTAGTTTTGAACCATATCATTATAGATGTCGATCTCCATACGCTGTCATTGGATTGACTGCTCAGTGTGTTTGTGGATATAAGCTGAAGCAGGAAAGCTTACATCTCATTATCTTCAGTCAGAGAGAAGGGACTTTTCAGTCATTTAACATTTTTTGTTGAAAACTTTGAATGAAATTATCTTAAATTCTTGATCTCAAACAATTGAACCTTGTACTATAAACTATTTACAGTATATCATTGCAGAACAACACCAGCGAGCAATAAAAACATGACAAATCTCAGTATGACGCTACTATCATTAGTGGATCAAAGATTAAGAAATAAAAAGGTAAAACGTGGATTATGGAAACAATGACATCTTGAAAAGCAGAAGAGTTACGATTACTCACACACAATGTTCAACTTTGAGCTGCTTTGAGAAGGGAAAATGATGTAAAATTCAGTTTTTTTGTTTCTTTTCTTGAGCACATGTTGCTCATCACCTGTTTGTTGCCTCTGCTCTGGGGCCCTGCTGAAGGTGAGGGGGGGTTTGTGTGGATTGACTGAGTGTCAGTTTGCTCCTGATTCAGAAACCGCTTTAACGGAACTTTTCAAAATAAACTGTATTAATTAAAAAGATAAATTACATTATAATATGGAAGGTATTGAGCACTGTTATCGGTAGGTCGTGGTTACCACAGCTCCATATTCTGAGTACTTTGTGGAGGATGATGCAATAAGAGACAAGAAAACAATTGCAAACAGCGTTAATACTTTGCAATTTAAAACTAGAAAAGTCTTTAGCAAGTCTCTGCTTGTGGTCACACTATAAACCTGAAGTTGTGTAACTTACTAATTAGTGTCTTGCCTCACATGCATTGTGTAATATCTGCTAATGTTTGATATACGTTCTACACAAAAGTTCTAAGTCATGGAATTGGAATTATTTTATCTATTGCAAACTTCAATTAAAACATTAGAAGAAAAAATATCAAAAAACAGTATGAATAATATAATTATATAAATAAGTAGAAACATTTTTTCTTAGGGCTAGGAAATTGAATGGGAAAAGGCCTATAATTAGATTGCAGAGTAAATGTATATTTTAACTTGAAGAACATCAGGTGCAGCAGTGCGAACAATATGTATTTTTCACACTTGCAATTTGTGCAATTGTACAGGTGCAATTCAAACCAATAATGAATTTGTTTTACCACGCAAGCCAAAACCTTTTACTTTGGCATCTCTTAAACTTGTATTATTTTCTCTTTAATTAAATATTTAACAAGGCTCTATCTTTCTGAAAGTGATTCATTTGCCTCATTATGTATGCGCAAACAATGTGGGCGGAGCTAAACAAAGATCTTTTCCAAGTGCATGGATTCCATTGATATGTGGTGTGCGGAAAATACTTCTAATCTAGTCCTAGTTCCTCTTAACATCTCACATCTAGAACTCTAGATGGAACTATTTTGAGAATACTTCAGAAACAGGATCAAAATCCATCTAATTAAAAATCTTGTATTGTGAGATGGCCAAAGCATTTAAAATACAGCCCCAAGTCGGCCTTCCTTTATATAGGAAAGGGCTTCATTAGGTCAATCCCCGGTGTTCACAATACAACAAATCAGTTACATTCATATATTTACAAAGCACAGATACTGTACATATCTATATCATATTACAAGATTGATGCACCCACACAAGCATATTACATATTATTAAGGTGGAGAATAGTGTTGTAAGTTCAGGGAGATTCTGTCTGTACAGAGAACTTAACATACTCGCATAAATGTACTCAAAGCAAAACGACCTGCTGTATAAATGGAAAAAAGATCTCGGAGAAGGCGCTGAGGTTAATTTGCCTCTTTCCTTGTAAAACAGGAGTGAGGGAGAGGTGTGGCCACTGTTTGATAATGAGGGGTGCAGAGCATTGGCCTTGATACAGCCATTTTTTGACATAGCTGATTATTCAAAAATGTAAAATGTGATTGAAGTTCAACAGAATATTCTCCTCACAAAGGTTGAAACCTAGCATAGGGGGCGACATTGAAGCATGGGAGAAAAAGATCACCGCATAGCCTGTGAGTGCAGTTACTGTTCTTGTGAGTGCACTGAAAGTAAAAACACTCACAACGTTGCCTGTTTGCACTGGCACTTGGGCTAAGACCCGTCGCATAGACCTTTCTATTGCTCATTGCAGCCAAACCTCTACAGAACGCTCCTATTCAGCAGCCTGCCTCAGACCATCTTCAAGCCCAACAAACAAAAAAGCACACAATGTCCACCTCTACAGCTGTGTTTTGTCACTAAGCTCATGTCAGGGGCCACAACCTCCTTTTAGAACCTCTCCACAAACCAATGACATCACCCTCCCTGGAGCTTGACTCACCCCCAGCCCTTCCACCACCTCCCCCTTGCATCACGTCATCTTGTCTAAATCGTCTCCACTTGTCTGATAATGATAATCTTGCACTCCTTGACAGCCCTTGATTATACAATGAAGAGTCCAGGAAAATGTCTGCGACGTCTGTCATTGTGGCGAACCCCATGGAAGCTTTTATTTCACCGCAGCTCTCTCCGACGTATTGCGCTGGAACCGTAGTTTGACATTGCTTTGTTTTACGCTGCCGGCTAAAGAGGCATGAGAAATGGGCTTATCTGAGTGCGCTGTTGGCCCTGTGTTTGCAGTGTCACGGTCCATTTACACACGAAAACCACCGCGTCATGATGGCTACAATAAGTCAGTATATAAACGACTGATGTCAGCAGAACAGTCAGTCAGACGAGAAAATATACTTGCAAACATTATAATTACATCGATGCGCGAATCATTTTTCCAGCCCTCTGCTACTTGGATGTAACAATTTGCAAATATCATTGTACAGTATTATCTCCTAATATTTTGTTGAAATATTTAGTGTGCAGCAAATATCAGAGGACCAAATACAGTATGTGATTTGACCGTGTCACAGAAAAGTCTGCCTCCACGGTCTCCTGCTTTGTTGTAAAGACGTACAATACAGGGTAGACCAAACCAGTACTTTGTGAGTCAATAAACTTATTTTTTGATCTTCTTTGATCTTTCTTGAAATAAATCAGAAAGGTGATTGTGTATTAGTTTGTATTGTCTAAATATAATACAATGACATCTTGATTGCTTTTAAAAATATACATTTTTGCCTCAAGATGTCAGCAAAGACGGTGAGAGTGGTTTGTGTATACAGATCAGTATGAATCTTGACATGAGAGATACATATTTTTGTGGCTGTCATCCCTGAAATAGAAATAATTCACCGTCCCAATAGAGATCTTGCTTTTCAGTCAGTGGTGGAAAGTTGTGAAGTATAAAAGTACCATATTTCATGTATTATTATGATGAAGGCTGACTACAATTTGGAGAATGTATTTATTTGCAGTGTGACTTATCAATGCACACTCATGTAAGAAAATCCAATGATTCTTTGAGAAATATTATTGCTTTATTGGTCATGAAGGACACAGAGAAGGGTGTGTCCAGTCTGCTGCATGCACATTACCAGAACTAAGATCACATTGGGGCCATATTTATTCCTGTCAAATGACTCATAACTGATGCTATTACATCTGGTGTGTGTATGAGTGCGTATATGTGTGCGTGTGTGTGTGTGTGTGCCTCCAGCGTACAGTGCTGACTTCTAGTCTCCATGTGGTCACCATTGACAGACGTGAATAATTTATAAAGGATGACTGCATCATGCCCTGTTATTCTTGCCCATTGGTCTAGATGTAACATAAAGGCATGACTGGTATTAAATCACAACTAAAGGAGGCATTACAGCCATTTTTAAGGCT